TAAAATGAGACCTTAATTATGCCAATAAAAATAGAAATAAAGAACTAGCTTAGTAGCAAACAGGTATATGATTTGTCTGTTTGGGAATACACAAACATAATGCAATGCAACAACTTCAAATGCAAGACCCAGAGAATACAACCTTTTGCTCAACTATGTTAACAACATCAAAAATAGCTCTCGTGCAGCACAGCTGAAGTACAACCCATTACCATACCAAAGGTATACCAGGGAAACAATCAAACTCTCACCCTTCTAGATGATCTAGGCCATCACATAGCATGCAGCTACATGTTTGTCTAGAACAACACAACACATCATCACATTCACAACACTCAACTATACGTACATTCATAGCCAAAAAGTGCATCATAGGTGTGCAGTAAAATTGAAGGGCAAAGTGAACTTTCAAAACCCACCAATTACCAAACAAAAGCAAAGGGTATCATCACAATGTCATGCCATCTATACAAGACATTACATTCACGACACTCAACTAAATGTCCATTGATTGCCAATAAGTGCATCACAAGAGTGCCTACTAGGCTAACACTGGAAGAGTAAATCTCATTTCCAACCTGGTAAAAAACTAAAGTCTAGTTTTAAAACATTTCTTGAATTTATACTTCAACTACCACTACACCCCAATCAGCTCACAAGCATATTTGAAGTCAACTACATAAATACTCACTGCCCATATTGCTCCATTTAAGTATGTCTGCTGCTTGAACTTACAACCACATCAGAACAGGTCTAGGGATTCAGCTGCTAAGCACCAAACAACAAATTCATGATTCAAACTCACACAGCATGAAAATGATTACGTGAAAAACTCTTCACTAAAACTTCAATTCAAAATTCAAATACTATCATCTAAGTTTTGTATCATCTCCAATAGGAACTTCAAACAAGTTTTCACTTGGGATCAAACACCCTAAGCAATGTGTGCATTCCATGATAATACAATATCAATTTAGCTTTTATCCAAAGCGGCAAATGATTGTCACATGATATGAACACTAAAATGAATAACCTAAATAACGCTATAATTTAAATAACTCATGAGCGAATTTCACAATTAGATAAACAACATACCGAGTGTAATCTCACAAGTGGAGTCTAATGAAGATAAGAGTGCGTAACGTTCAGCACAATTAAAGCATATTTTCACAAATTTATAAATGCAGACAATTGAAAACGAAGTACTATATAAAGAGGAACGATGTATAAATAAAATAGAGCAAAAAGATACGAAGCATAAATCCATAGCCAAAATCGGATACTAAATTTTGAATTCGGTGTAATCAGAACAAAATCACAACTCAAATGTGACTGAAATTTCAAACTAAAACTTAAACAGCATAAGCCTAGAGAAGACGATAAGCATAGATAGACCGTTGAGAACTGCAGAATGTAGTTCTACTTCGATCTCTGTCTCATCTTTCGACGCTTCCTCTTCAACCTCCTCATACGCTTCTTCTTCCACTGAATAAAACCAAAAAAAAAATGACAAAATTAAGCATAAAAAACTTACGGAATTAGTGAAAATGGAGAAATTTCATGCTACAGAATTCATTTTTACCTTAGCTCTCATTCTGAATTGGTGATGATCGGAGAGCTTTCTTCACTTCTCGGGGAGAATATATCAAATGCGGCAGTGATGAAAGAAGATGGAGTTAGGGTTTAGATCAATTATATAGCAAACCCTAAAACGCGAGATATGTCGATCACTGATGGGCCTAAAATGTAATTCAAATTGGATCCAGTTAATAGGCCCAACTTCTCGGTTCTTAATGGATGAATCGGGTCTTTGAAATTTTAGTCCCATTCTTCGTAATTGAATTTGATGCACTTGAGTCCCACCAATATGTATAAGGTAGTCTTTATTAAAAAAAACGTAGTTGATCACATTAAAATCACACACATATAGATAATGCATATTGAAATATTATCTTGAAGAATGTGACGTAAGTTTTTTCTTCGATATCATGATAATTAACAAGTTATTTATTGTATTTTGATATCAATACCCATGACACTACAGAAATAGGTGAACCGATATTTGGTATAATTAAATACTTGTTGAATTAATGATTAATCAAGATGACATTTCTCAACTTTGGAATACGAGTTTAAGGTCTATGTTGTCATGAATTTTAAATGACTAACTAATACCTTCACCAGGGCAATCAAAGGAAAAGAAAAAAAATCAAGAGTTTCTGAGGTCATTCAATGGTAAGTATAATCACATGCATACATAGTTAAATCATCGTAATTTGATAGTTGAAAATTTGATTTTTGAAATTGTGTTTGTACATATATTTTATTTGATTATTATTTATTTTTACTTCTATAAGTGGAATTGTGCAATTTTCAAAAGTTGATCTACATTAGGTTGTGGAAACTTGAAAATATTTGAGGATCAAATATATATATAGATAACTTTCACAATCTGATTCAAAATATATGATCAACGCAAGTTAAGACATTAGGAGATGACCTAGAGATTTAGTTTTGTAATTCATAAGATGTTAGAGTGGATTAAAGTCTCACATGGCTAGGAAATTGGTTTACAGTATGCTTATATAAACTTGGACAATCTTTTTCTCATGAACTAACTTTTAAAATTGAGTTAGGCTTAAATGTAATATCTTTACATGATATCATGGTCAAGTTATCCCTGTTTGGACTTATAGTACACGCTCCAATAGAGTCAGCCCATAAAAACGGTATTATAGTAGATTAAACTCTCAAATTAATTAAAAAATAAACGGACAATTTACTTAAATAGACCTGAACAATCTTTCCCTCATAAAATTAAATTTTGGAGTTAAAGGTTCAGATGGATCGAAATTTATGAATTCTTAGAACATTTTTTGTATCCGCAACTATTTGTACGGTCATTTTCTTCTTATCAAATGTTAAGTGAGCCCTAAACCCTAGTATAAGAGTATCATTTTTCTCAAGCTGAAACAACTAAAAGATTAAAATATCTAACCTTGATTTTATCTTCTTAGTATTAATTTTATATTATTACTGGAGAAATAAGAGTAGAATTGTAAACTTTATGACTCATTTTTCTTATTAATCATTCGAAAAAAAGAGAGGATACATTTCTTGTAAATATGAAATAATACTGTGTCAAAATTTTACCCATATTAGATCCTTACATAAAGTGCACAAAAGGTATATTATTCTATTTAAAAATTCATTTGTTTTACAGACAGAATTGAAATATTGCAAAAAAAAAAAAAAAGACATATTTCTTAAAGGCTTGCGTATAATAACGGAACTTATAGTAAGACCTAAGGAGAATCCCTTGGTTCAAAGCAAGGTCTCGTGAAGGCGACGGCAACTATAGCTTTATTCAAACTCGCTTAAGACTATACTAGAATAATTTATTAAACGTAATATCTGATTTTTCCACTTGGTGTCGGATATATACATTTGAGGCCTACTTAAATCTTTATTCATTCCATGTTTGAGTGGTTAAGGTACTTATCACTCCAACACAACTAGATGTTGGTCGAATTGGTGTTTGCTACTCAGGAAATGTCATGAAACGCTTACACTTGCAAACAAGGAATATAAGGTGGAGAAACGCATCTTATCTAACATGTAGGACTAACAATGGAGTAAGATTCAAAACTCTATCGATAATGAGTCCCTTCACTTAAATACCAAGCTTTTGTCTACAATTCTAAACCCATGATGCGCACATCACTCACACAACACATATGTTGTGCTCTTTTGCAACCACACCAAAGTGCTACGGGCAACTTTGGGACATTAAAAGAGCCAAATTTACTAACAAAAACAGGACAAACATGATTTGTCTGCTTGGGGAATACACACATAATGCAATGCAACAACCACTTCAAATGGAAGACCAGGAAAACACGACCTTTAACTACTCTGTAAATAAAATGATCACCTGGCATCATAAAAAATAGCTCTCTTGCAGTAAAACTTAAGGACAAGTGAACTTTCTACGCCCTCACATTACCGTACCATAGGGGCAAGGGTATAATATCCACGTTTCCACAAGGGAAACAATCAAACTTTCACCCATATAGTTCTAGGCCGTCAAATAGCACGCATGACGCATCTACATGTTGGTCTAGAACAACAATGCCATGTCATTTTATACAAGACATACATAACACTTAAATTTATTGCATCCCAGGTGCACCTACTAGGCTAACACTGGAAGAGTAGATCTCATTTTCCCATCCTGATAAAGAAAAACTAAGGTCCAGCTTCAAAATATATCTTGAATTAATAATTCAACTACTACTACTACACCTCAATCTGCTCACAAGCAAGTTCATACTCACTGCCCATATTGCTTCATTTAAACATATCTGCTACTTGAACATACAAGTTAAACCACATCAGAACAGGTTTAGGAATTCAATTGCTACCGAAACCACAAAAACACGTTTCAAACTCGCTTGGCATGAAAATGCCTTTAATCAAAAACTGAACTTTACTAAAATTTCAGTTCAAACTTCAAACAATCTCCAAGTTTTGTATCATCTCCAATACGAAACTCAAATGAGTTTTCACTACAGCATGGAACCAAATTTAAATTGCTATCTAAAATGGACCGTATGGTATCAGCATAAAGCATGCTGATGTACTACTTTTTTGGATGAAAAAAACTAAGCAATGTGTGCATTCCATAATGATCCAACATCAATTTGGCATTTAATTAGACAAACAATCTTAGCCCAAAGCGGCAAAGATTGTCACACGATATAAACACTTCGTGAGCGAATTTCACAATTATATAAACAACATACCCAGTGTAATCTCATAGGTGGAGTCTAACGAAGATAGTGTGCAAATATTAATCATACCTCGCAGAGGAGGCAGGGAGGCTGTTTCCAAAAGCTGTTCAGCACAAATAAAGCATATTTTCACAAATATATAAATGCAGACAATTCAAAACAAAGAACGAGGAACGACGTAAATAAAATAGAGCGAAAAGACACGAATAATAAGAAGCATAAATCCATAGCCAAAAACGGATACCAAAAATTTGAATTCGGTGTAATTAGAACAAAATCACAACTCAAATGTTACTGAAATTTCAAACTAAAACTTAAACAGCATAAGCCTAAAGAAGACGATAAGCATAGATAGACCGTTGAGAACTGCGGAATGTGGTTCTACTTCGATCTCTGTCTCATCTTTCGGCGCTTCCTCTTCAACCTCCTCATACGCTTCTTCTTCCACTGAAGAAAAAACAAAAAAAAATTACAAAATTGAGCATAAAAACTTACGGAATGAGTGAAAATGGAGAAATTTCATGCTACAGAATTGATGTTACCTTAGCTCTCATTCTTAATTGGTGATGATCGGAGAGTTCTCTTCACTTCACAGAGAGAATATTTCAAATGCGGCAGTGATGAAAGATGATGAAATTAGGGTTCAGATCAATTATATAGCAAACCCTAGGGATGTGAGATATGTGGATCACCGATGGGCCTAAAATGTTAGTTCGACTTGGGTCCAGTTTTTAGGCCCAATCTTGTGGCTCTAGGATGTGCAAGAATGACCCCCAATAAGGGGTGCTTGAAATTTTAGTCCCTTTTCTTCTTCTTTGTACTTCGAGGTTTTCCGAAATAGTCTTTCTATCTCCACGACATAATGATAAGATCTCCATGACATAATGATAAGATGTATGCACCCTCTATCCTACATATAAGATTACGCTAGATATGTTATGCTAGTTGCTAAAAATATCTTTAAAGAATGAATGGACTATGTTACTCATTTGTGAAAATAAAATTAATTTCACTTAGGAGATAGGAAATTCAGAGTATTTTTATAGCGGTCGTTTAATAGAATGTATGAGAATAGTATTGATTATGATATATTAATAATGTGTGTATTAGTTATAACTTACATTAGTTATGCTGAGATTATTTTTTATGCAGTGTTTGGTGTATTAAAATAATATAAATTGCATAAAAAATGATAACATATTTATTTACAAAAACGCCCTTCACAAATATGGTAGAAAGGATGTAGAAAAAATTTTGAGGGACAATTGTGTCTTTAATCTTACTAATGTGTGTATTAAAACCTTTTGCAATACTAATACAATGGATTTTTATATGTGTTATACAATGTATCCAAGTGAATTCGCATGTATCTGGGATACATAGTAAATTTCGCTAACCTCCCTCACCTCTCTCTCATATCGCTCGCAATGCTCTCTTGTATCTAGTATTCTAAATACATGTGAATCACTCCAGATACATACAAATACATGTATCTAGTATGTATCTAGGGTGATTCACATGTTTCTAGGATACACATATTTGATCAAATTAAGATTTGTTGGAGGCTTTAAGAAAGAGGAGAGTCATAATTTGACTTTGAACTCCTTTTAAGACAAGTTGAGATTTTCTTTGACACTTTATATAAAGTGTTAGTCCGTACTCCGTAGTGTATTGCTTGAGTAACACTTTATAAAGTTAATGCATGCATTAACTTTATATATTAGAAGTAGGGGTGTTCATGATTTGAATAAAAACCGATTCAAACCAAAAAATCAAACCAAATCAATAAAATAAAATCGATTTTATTTGGGTTTGATTTGGTTTGGTTTTAGATTTTTTAAAATCGATAGTATTTGGTTTGGTTATGATTTTATTCGAAAAACCCGAAGAAATAATCGAACCAAACTGATGAATCATATACATATATTTTATTAATATACATACTTAATATATTGTTTTTATAACAATTTTAAAGATCTTGTATATGTTTTCATTAAAATTTCTTTATAATTTACTTATTGAAGGCAAAAATGTCCAATGTGAAAACATTTATCTGTATATGAGTGTTTATGACAATTCTTTGTGGGACTAAAAATGTTATTGTCTCTTCCTTCTAGGCCAATATAGTAAATTTTAAAGCTTTATTGATAGTAAATTCAGTGATCAAAAGTTCGGTAATTTAAGTCATTCTAACTATTTTTCATTTTGAATGGATTGTTGTCACTTTTTTCACATTTTGAATGAATTATTTCTTTTATTTTTGTGTATGGTTAATAACCGAATAACCGACCCAAACCAAACCGAAACCGATAAATGTATAGTATATTTGGTTTGGTTTGTTTTTGATAATTTTAAAACCGATTAAGTTGGTTTAGTTTTGATTTTGACCAATAACCGATCCAAACTGACCCATGAACACCTCTAATTAGAAGTATCTTACAATGACTGAAAGTGACATGACCACTGCTTTTGTTTTACTGGAAAATAAAATTTTAAAGTGTTGATTTGATTCAACATTATAAATTTTTTAAAAATAGATAAAGATTTTGCGTGTTAAATTTTTTAAGTGTTGATTTCATTTCACACAAAAAGTGTTACGTGAATTATATATAAATTTTGCGTGTTAATATATAAATTTTAAGTTTTTTATTTTTATATATATAATTTTTTAATTATTTGTTATCACTTTATCTAATAATTTTTTACTACTAATTGAAGTATTTTATTTTTTATTTTCGTTGAAACATATACCGCGTGAAACTTGTACAGTATTGATTTAGTTCAACACTGTAAAATAAATTACGCGAAATTACAGTGTTGATTTAATTCAATACTGAAAGTGAAAGTGAAAATGTGTAAGAAGATTTACAACTTACAAGGCTCAACGGGCAAGTAGCCTTGTTAGATTTTTTTTATTATTATTATTTAAAAAAATTAATCAAAAACTATACATATAAAATCAACAACTAAAAGTTTTGAAATTTTTTAAAAAAAAACTAACAAGGCTACTTGAGCCTTGTAAGTTGCAAGTCTTCTTACACATTTTCACTTGAAACTTTTAGTGTTGAATTAAATTAACACCGTAGTTTTGTGTGATTTATTTCTACAGTATTGAATTAAATCAACATTGTACAAGTTTCACGTGATATATATTTCAACGAAAATAAAATACTTCAATTAGTAGTAAAAAATTATTGGATAAAGTGATAAAAAAAATAGTTAAATAATACTATGCTAAAATAACAAACAAACAAATTTTTTAAAAAAATAATTAAAAACTATAAATATAAATTCAAAATTTTTTTTTTTTTAAAAAAAAACTAACAAGGCTACTTGCCCCTTGTAAGTTGCAAGTCTTCTTATACACTTTCACTTTCACGTGAAATTTTCAATGTTGAATCAAATCAACACTATAGTTTCGCGTAATTTATTTTTACAGTGTTGAATTAAATCAATACTGTATAAATTTCACGCGGTATATGTTTCAACGAAAATAAAATACTTCAATTAGTAGTCAAAAATTATTAGATAAAGTGATAAAAAAATACTATATTAAAATAACAAATAAACAAAATTTAATTGAAAACTATACATATAAAATCAAAAACTAAAAGTTTTGAAAAAATTTTTTAAAAAATAAAATAAAAACTAACAAGGCTTACTTGCCCTTTGAGCATTGTAAGTTGTAAGTCTTCTTAGACATTTTCACGTGAAACTTTCAGTGTTGAATCAAATCAACACTGTAGTTTCGTGTGTTTATTTATATAGTGTTGAATTAAATCAACACTGTAAAAGTTTCACGTGATATATGTTTCAACGAAAATAAAAAAATAAACTACTTCAATTAGTAGTAAAAAATTATTAGATAAAGTGATAAAAAAAAATAGTTAAAAAATACTATACTAAAATAACAAACAAACAAAATTTTAAAAAAAATAATTAAAAACTTTACATATAAAATAAAAAACTAAAAGTTTTGAAAAAAAATTTAAAAACTAACAAGTTAACTTGCCCTTGAGCCTTGTAAGTTGTAAGTCTTCTTACACATTTTCACTTTCACGTGAAACTTTCAGTGCTGAATCAAATCAACACTATAGTTTCGCGTGATTTATTTTTACAGTGTTGAATTAAATCAACATTGTACAAGTTTCACACAGTATATGTTTCAACGAAAATAAAATACTTGAATTAGTAATCAAATATTATTAAATAAAATGATTAAAAAAAACTATATTAAAATAATAAACAAACAAAATTTTAAAAAAATTAATTAAAAACTATACATATAAAATCAAAAACTAAAAGTTTTGACAAAAATAATTAAAAACTAACAAGGCTACTTGCCCCTTAAGCCTTGTAAGTTGTAAGTCTTCTTACACATTTTCATTTTCACTTTCATGTGAAACTTTCAATGTTGAATCAAATCAACACTGTAGTTTTGCGTGATTTATTTATAAAGTGTTGAATTAAATCAACACTGTAAAAATTCCACGCAATATATGTTTCAACGAAAATAAAAAATAAAACACTTCAATTAGTAGTAGTAAAAAATTATTAGATAAAGTGAAAAAAAAAATAGTTAAAAAGACTATATTAAAATAACAAACAAACAAAAAAAATTAACTATTTTTTTACCACTTGATCTAATAATTTTTTACTACTAATTGAAGTATTTTATTTTTTATTTTCGTTGAAACATATACAGCGTGAAACTTTTACAGTGTAGATTTAATTCAACACTTTATAAATAAATCACGCGAAACTACAGTGTTAATTTGTTGCAACACTGAAAGTTTCACGTGAAAGTGAAAATGTGTAAGAAAACTTACAACTTATAAGGCTCAAGGGGCAAGTAGCCTTGTTAGTTTTTAATTTATTTAAAACATCGGTGGAATCATAATCATAAAAACACATAGCGTGAGATTTAGTAAGGTTAGAACTTTTAAGATGACAGATAATAAGGTTAGAGTGATTTTACATTGGGGTGGAGAGATTTTGCATGAATCCGGATATGTGAGATATAGTATTCCACCTATGGTTACTCAATTATTTTCATTATCTCTTACATATGATCATTTGCAAAGTGATTTTAGGAAAAAAATGAAGATAAAAGATCCGGAAGACGTAGTAACTATCTTTGGTCGATATCCAAGTTCTTTGGCGTCTAATGGACATGCCATTTTTTCCTTAACTTGTATTTCGAATGATGATTCTTTATCTTCATTTCTTCGTAGTTTTGAATTATTTTCTAACTGCATCGATATGCAGTTGCTTGAGATGTATGCATCAGTTCAGCGATGCCCTCTCATTCATGAACCCGATGATAGTGAATTTGATCTTTCAGTCGAACAACAAGTGATGGTAGAAATTGAGGGTGTAAATGAAACACAACAAAATTCGACCTTTGAAGTGAATATTTTAGATGTTGCCGGTCCTAGCAATTTGTGTAGTCAACTTCTTTCTACACCGTTGGAGGCTATCAACATGTAATTCATATGTATATAAATATAATTGTTTAATCTTTTTTCTTGTTCATATATTCATTCATTGAATTTTGAAGGCCTAACGAATGCGGAGGTCCTCTCACTCGGCTCTCAGAAGTAGTTGACATCAATGATGATGAACTACACGATGATTCGACGGAGGATAATGAAAGTGGAAATGATGATGAAGATGTTGGCGTAGATATTGCTCTCATAGTAGTCTATACTGTTAGTTCATCTTTTGAAGCCATTCCATATTTGGATCATATGGAAGATTTTGCAGACGAATTCGGATTTAACGTTCCTGGTAACACTCCACTATGGAATGAAAAGAATCTTAAAAACATTAAGAGGGTGTTGAATTGATTTAAAAGTTGGTCAAACCTACTTTCAAGTCAGTTTTTGACTTCTAGGAGTGTTTGGCAAATATAAAAAATAACTTCAAATAAGTCAAAAATGACTTAAAATAAGTTACGAAGTGTTTGGCAAGGTAAAAAAATGACTTAAAATAAGTCAGAAACCAAAAAGTAGGTCTCTCCATACTTTTTATTTTTTGACTCAAAAGTCATTTCAGTTTGACTTTTTATTTTTGACTTAAAAGTTACTTTTTTTTAAGGTAATCCAAACGGGCTCTAAGTCAGGTTTGATTCATGAAACATAAAATTATGTAAATTAATGATAAATATTTTTTATTTAATTAGTCGATGTTTTTTTGTATCATTACATATAGGTATGGTATTTTTAAATAAAAAACAAATGAAATCGACAGTGAGAATGTATAATATTGCGAAAGGGACAAAGTTCTTGTGTGATCAATCCAAAGGAAACAATTGGAAGGTCATCTGCAAAAAGAATATGTCGGAATGTGAGTGGATGATTCGTTTTTCGCAAGGTAGGCGGTGATATGTGGAAGGCAGGTAAAATGATTTATCACAGTTGTAATCCAGATACATATAAGGAAGATCATGACAATTTGAATAGCAACATGATTGCTACATCGTTGATTCCTTATATTATCGAAAATTCCAATATATAAAGATGATTCAAGAAATCATCAAAGGATTGCACCACTACAATCCTAGTTATAGAAAAGCACAAAAAGCTCGAAGAAAGGCGTTTGTTATGGTGTATGGCGACTTTGAAAATTCCTTTAAGGCTTTACCTAGATATATGACGGCTTTACATTTTTTTAACCCAAGTACTATTGTTGAGTGGGAGCACCATTCAACAACGATGCAAGGTGAGCAAATTTTCAAGTACTTATTTTGGAGTTTTAAAGTATGCATCGATGGCTTCAAAAGTTGTAGGCCTGTTATTTCTATAGATGGAACTCATCTTTATGACAAGTATGATATTAAATTATTAATTGTTGTCACTATTGATGCGAACAAAAATGTTTTGCCACTTGCATATGCCTTAGTCGCTCGGGAGAGCTTTGAATCTTGGTCATGGTTCTTGGCATTATTATGGAAGCATGTTGTTGGCGCGTAGAGGAATTGGCCTTATTTATGATTGACATCAAGGTATCTTAAAATGTGTTCAATCTTTCAATTGGTTGCAACCTCTAATGACATACCACCGATTTTGTGTTTGTCATTTGAAAGCAAATTTTAATTAAAAAAATTTAATAGTGAACTTGAAAATCTAATGTGGTATGCTGCGACGGAGAATCAAGAAAAAAAAATTGTTCAAAGAATGCAACAAATTAAAACATTGAACGCTGAAGCTTTTAAGTGGTTAAATGATCTTCCTTTGGAGAAATGGACTATGTACGTTGATAACGGTCATAGATGGGGTTCTTTGACAACCAATGTATCTGAGTCGTATAATGGTGTGTTGAAGAAAGCAAGGGGGATTCCAGTCTCAGCTATGGTTCGCATGACACTTGTTGCTTCCAATTGTACACGCAAGTGTACGCGGTTGCACAAGTAATATAGTGGCTCTTAAAAGAACCGGATTATCGAACTCAGAGAACTTGTCAATTAATTATTCTTACTAAATTATATTAATTTTAATTATTTATTTAAGGGGAGCATCTCAAAAGATTAATATAAGATAAAATAACTAAAAAACAATTAACTAAGAAAAGATAGATGTTTACACAATCAATGAATGAATCGATCTAGGATTATAATTTAACTAACAATCATGTTTAACATCAATTTCATCAACTTATTTGATTATCTAGTTATTGATTCACAGGGTTAAATGTATGATCATGGTCTCCCGACCTCTAATCGCCTACGATAAATAACACCCTAACTACATCGTTGAATAGGGATAGGATGGATTAAGTACCGAGCATTAAGATTTCTTCATGTATAGTGACCAAGCATGGTTTCTAGGTATATCCCTATCCTAGATAGGAATTAACCCTAATTATTAAGAGAAAATCATGCTTCTTATATTCCACCTTCTATCCTCTTATTCCTCTCCCGAATTCAATTCGGACAATAAGTTTATTTCAATGATCAAGCATCAAAATAGTAATTACAAGAATATAAGAACAACTAATATGATAAACAAATCATGTCGAATCAAAATCACTAAACAACCATATTGTAAGTAAATATAATCCAAGAAAGAGAAGTTTAACTCCACAGACATAGAGCAATTACAACGAATCATTCAAATAAAAGATGTAAAATAAATAAAAGAGAAGAAAAGAAGAAATCCTAAATCAAAAGTTATTTTCACATTGATAATTATTCTTATGGATTATTTATAGATGTAGGAAACCCTGAATAAAATAATTGAGTCCAAAATAAATTAGGAATCCAAAACCAAACGAATTGGATTTTCAGTTGTACGCGTGAAACTGTCCAACCGCCTCAACTTTGCGCCTTTAATCAATTGGCTACTGCCTTCACACATTGCCACGTGGAATGTTCCAATTCCAATTCTACTTCAACCAACATATATATTATTTTATAAAATTTAATTCATTAAGCTATCTGCTTGATTTTCTTCTTCAAACTTCTATTTTAAATTTATTTTAGCTTCAAACTTCTTCATCTTTCCACCAATTCAATCTTACAAATAAAATATACTATTTAGCACAATTTATAAAATTCAGACTCAAAAAGGACAAATATAAATAATAAATGTGAGGCAAATAATGATTAAAAAAATATATTTTTGCCTCACATCAACAGTGAAAGCTTTGATTGATCGTTTGTTGAATGAAGCAAGGCTAATGCTTTACTTGAACAAAATAAGTCTTGGCCTCTTAGTGTGGAAAAACGATTTAATAAAAATTGGAGAAAAGCTCAAGCACGTATTGGAATGATGAACTATAGTAGTACTTCAGTTGTATTTGAGATCCTCACATTTGCACACAATGGCGAAGGAGGAAATGTTCACAAAGTTTTTGCAGATGCCAAAAAATGTTCTTGTGGCAAATGGGTAAATTATCATATATCTTTCTCTCATGTAATCAAATTTTGTGGTCTTTGTGGTATCGAGCCAAAGACTTATGTGAGCAAATACTATACCACGAAATATTACAAATGAACCTATAATGTTACTTTTACGCCAGTGGGGGATGAAATTTATTGGCCTCCTGTCGCATTTAGTTTGATTGCAAATACTGAATATTTGTGAACATCTACTAATCAATGCACAAGGCGACTCAAGAATGAAAATGGATATCGCTCCAGCTTGCATGTCAAGAAAGTGTAGTATATGCAGGGAAACAGGACACACCAAGGCTCGTTGTCCTCGTAGAAATCCTTTGTAATATATGTATTTAACTTTTAATATTCATGTTTATGACTAAGAAAATTGAGTTCCATTTATTTTAAGCATATAGTTAAATTTTTAATATTATAAAAACAATTCATCAATATCGAAATAATAATAAAGACATAATACACTTTACAATAAAAGATACAAATAATCGAATATAATAATTAAGTGATATGATAATCATAATTTATATAATGTTAAATATTTCTATTCGTCGTCAATATTTGGTACAACATCAACTTCATAATTTATATATCAATTTGGACTCATACTTTTTGTTTGCTCAATTAAGGATAATTGATTTAAAAAACAATACGGCACACCAAAATTCAGTGTTTCTGGTAAAAAAATTTGTAAACCAGTCCATTCGTTAACAATTGGATAAACGGGATATGTAGAATTTCTATGAAACTTTTCGTCTTCTAGTAGATTCCAATGTTCTTCTTCATTTGCTCCCTTATTGTTAAGATCGTCTAATGAATGAAATATCTCTAAAGCTTTTTTCATTTCATTGATTTCCTTGGACAAATATTCAATAACGACTGCTTCATCTCTAAAGTTGCATGTTTGATAAGTAGCCGACAATGCTTGTGGAATTAGCAAACCATGTCAACGACATAAAACTTCGTAATCACACCTCTTCGAATATAAACCGAGCCACTCGAGCGTTTCGCCCCAACTAATAAAATCATCCATTTTAGAAGAATGTGGTTCACCCTCCAAGATGTGTCCTGCAACTTGTAAATCATAATAAATATTGATTGGTTTATTTTCTAATGGACGAATTTTTCCATACCATTTTCTTCCCGACAAATTGGTGTAACACCCAAATACTTTTTTATGATCTTTTGAGATTCTATTATTATTATTTTTAGTACTATCAAACCAACTTTGTAATTTCATTTTATTTTTTTTGCATTGTTGAAAAAATATGTTTTCAAAATAAACATGAAACATGAATTTATAATAAGTGTCAATCCAAAAATATGGCACAATGGCCTATGTCCATTTCGAGGAACAACATACCATGTGTCTCTCCTTACAAGAATGAAGTGACCTGACCATTGCTTTTGCTTTACTGGAATTTTTTTTTTTGCAGTGTTGAATTAAGATTTTTAAAAATAGATAAAGATTTTGCGTGTTAAATTTTTTAGTGTTGATTTGTTTCAAAACAAAAAGTATTACGAGAGTTTTTTTTTTTTTAAAAAAAGAGGCCGTTTGAATTGACTTAAAAAATAGTTTTTAAGTAAAAAATAAAAAGTAAGGGAAAACATACTTCTAGTGTTTTAATTATTTCAATAAAAATTTAAGTTAGTTTTAACCTTGTTCATCAAACACTTCCTAACTTATTTGAGTAATTTTTATATTTCTCAAAAATTTACAAAAGTCATAAACTAACAAAGTGGTAAGCCTATTATTTTTTCTATATGTACCAACTCTTGTAGAGTTATCATATATTCACATTGATTTTGCTAACATGTCATTTTTCAACATGAAATCTACATAAAAAAATATATATATATGTTAAATGCTCCAAATTTTAGTTGAAATAATAAGAATGGAAAGTATCTTCTTGAAATAAGATTCCACCAAATTAATTTGGATGGAAAGAATCATGTTATGTCTTTTTTTTAAATGGCGAAGAAGCTAGAATGCCTTTTGTTACAAGGCGAAGAGGCTAGAATGTAAGATTACTTTGCTTACATTCACAGGCTGAAGAGCTTGAGTGTTAGTTAATTCTACAATATCATGATGTAATGTCATGTTCTTGGAGATAACAATCAAGTTAAAGGATTTCAAATTTGAAAGAGAAAGTTTTAATTTCAAATTTGATTTTATGAGATATTTAAAGTGATTTGCTGATGAAATTTGAAGTCATTTCATTGAAGATTTAGCTTAGTTAATTATGAACAACAAGCAACTGAAAATCGTAGAAATGTTGTCCTTTATATTTTCTATTTGAAATCTCTAGAAGTGTTGTCTTTCATATTTTCTATCATGTTCCCTTATATGTTGTACTAAATATTATCAAATTATCTAAAATAATTGTTGTGAAAAAAGATATATTTTTGAAGGATTCAACACGTATTCATGGGGTTTGGAATGGTCTTGAAGAGAGAATATATTTGAGAATAAGGATCACTATCTATTGACTTGCATAATAAACGACTCTGGAGTCAAACGGGAAACTTTTTTCTTCCAAAATACATAAAGAGCTATTGAAATTTTGAAATACAGAATTTTTCAAAAGCCTTTCAATTATGCATAATGGAATGAGTCCTTTTATTTTGATGGTAAGTTTTTGTATGAGCAATCTGCCAAAATATGTGACTTTTGATGAGTATCTCAAACTTAGTTCTACCCAAAAATCTTTACTAAAACGTCTTTAAAATATAATAATTACTTTTTAAAATAGTGGATTACAAGTCAGAAAATCTACGACTCACTCACAGGTTGCCTATACTTTTTACTGCACATTAAAGTTCCAATGGTTGCCACATTTCCAACTTCTCATTACAATTTCTTCCTCAAACAACACATTAAAAGCCAAAAAGTTGCCTGAACTTAACACATTAAACAACACATTTTTTGTTTATTCATATATTAGAAAAGATTCAACCACTAATTACAGAAACTTGTTTAAACACTAGGAAAAGATTCAACCACTTATTTTTCTTTTCCTTGTTAATTCTCTCGTTTGTTCTCATGTATCTAGCAAGAAGCTTCTAACTTATCATGTAATTAGTATACAAAATTCTAAAAAGTAGAACACAACTTACATTAAATATTTTTCCACTTATGCTTGCAAGGGAATGAAAATAACTAGGGATAGTAGTTTAATTTAAAATAAGAATAAAATCAATGAAGAAATTAATAACAACTCAAAAAAATAAGTTTCTGACGAATTATATATATATGGTCTTTACCTTTTTGTTTGTGCCACATTAAACTGTTAACAAACGCTACTGTTTTTCTTCGTAACATATCTGCAGTTTTGAGTCGGTTTGAATCCTCAGAACTTGACTCCATGATTTATTAAGATTATAGAATGATAAGATTATTCTTCCTTTAACTGCTTGGAGGAGGGATGACTCATATTTGATGTTTTGCTTCTTCTCCAAGTTTGAATATCATTCGGCAATGTTCAGTTGGTTGGATTTGAACATGTTTTCGTGGAGACAGGATTTGAAGTTGAATTGACATAATATATGTAGACACGTATTTTTGACCGAGCTTAAAATTTTATACCATTTTTAGAGCTAAAATATTTTTATAAATATAAATTAAATATTTTGACTGTTATCTTATTTTATTAAGCTTATTTTTAAAAGATTTGCAAACAACAAAATAGAATCACTTTTTAAAGTAAGTTTTATTGTCAATTGTTTAAAAAGAAATGAAAGATTACAAAAAAAAACTATATTTGAAATTAAGTTTTTATAAATAAGCTAGTATTATTTAATTGATCTTATCTTATAGCTAGTTGACTTTTTCTTAGATTTTTATTAATTTTAAATAATTAGTTGATATGCTATTCTTTTAAGATTAAAATAAAACTAAAACTAAAAAGTAAATAAAAAATAACCTAATTAATCTAACAAACCTACCCCACTCCTATACCTACCCAAAAACATACTACACGTAAGGAAAAGAAGAGCAAAAACAGTTTGCTGCTTTTTAAAATAAATAAATAAATAAACAACAACAATACCATACACCCCCACACTCCCACTTTCCCACAATTCTCTACACTCCCACTTCACATGACTAAAGGAAGAAAAAGTCAATAACAAAAAGGAGACCCACACACACACGTACCAAGAAAAATCTGCAAAAAAGCAAAAAAAAACCTATCCTATATATATAGAACACAAACGTACAAAAAAGGGGATATAGATCACCATCATCAGTTATATGGAATAGAGTGCACACAAAAAAAAAAAAAGCAATACATTTTAAGTCAGATAGATTTTTGTTCGTGGATTCAAGTTCGTGGCTCCTTAAAGTTAATTATAATTAACTTTGGAAATCAGTAGATTGTAGCGGTTTCTTTTGTTGGAGTTAAGTTTTACGAAAATGTAATTCTAATTCTTTATATAGTTCAATGAAATAATTGTTCTGAATTCGATTATGATGTTATGTAGTCCTTAAAATTACATGTATTGTTATATGCCACTATATTATGACGCATATCATATTGTTGATTGCATGAATTGCTACTGTTTAAATTTGCTCATCGAATTATTTTTTACACCTGACGTTAATTTAATCAACTAATTTGATCCAAAGATGGTTGTTGTTTACTCCTAGTTTTGTTTCAACATGTTTATGTACATTTATTTGATGGTACAAATTGACAACTTGGTTTATGACTTTAATTTATTTACATGTAAATTGGTTAGAGATTCTGTATTAGTTATCATTTAGAGTTTCTGGAGTTTAATAAATAAATAATATTGCCATACTTATGGAGACAATTAATTATTAAAATAATTTTTATCGTATTCGAAATATTAAAAATGGAGGAGATGAAATTAGTTCATTTGAGTGAGTCATTAATTCATCAACGTGAGATAGTTCTTTTATTAGTAATTTCACACTATCATCATTTGGTGAAGAAAAATTATTATATCACTACGTATATTATTTTCTCTCAATTAGTTTAAAGGAAAAAATTAATTAAAAAATAATATATAGAATTAAAAAGAAAACGTGAGCAGAGAAAAGTATAATAATAAAACAAAAATAGTGCAGAATAGAAAGAT